CAGGCGACTCGTCAGGGATAACGAGCAAAAGCCGATCAATTCTTTTGTGTGAACGCCGAGGGAATCCGAGATGAATCTTTTCGTTAGTGAAAATTGATCTCGAGAGCGAAAAGCTGTCCCCGAGCGCTGCCGAGCCGCGATGCAAAGACGAAGGCGAAGGACGTGAGAAAGTCCGATGTTGCGGAGATGATTCGATGCACATTCGAATTCGCGACATTTGTGAATTTTGCGACTTTTCCACACCGTCGCTGTTTTGTTCACTTTTATTGGGATTCCGCTGCTCTGTCAATGGGATGCCATTGAGAAATTCGACGACATGTTTCGGGTGATAAATATGCGCAACAAAGAAGAGACATTTTGCATTGTCAGACAGGGTTGAGAGCTTAAGAGGACGACAAGTTCCTTTTGAACTTATTGAAAAGAGGCTTAACAAATTTGTCGACATCCGGCCGCTGATAAGAATATATTTTATATGCTGTAGCCACGAGGTGAAATCCTTTTTTCTTTCTCGGTGGGTGAAACTTTCCATTATGCGGCGTTTTTCTCTAGGTTGGTGTGACTTATCCATTTGCACAAATGTTTTTTCGTCTCTTTATCCTTATTTCTTATTTTTTTGCTCTGAATCCCTTTCCTCCTTTTCCTTCCTAATCTAACCTTCCTAACCTATCTTTCCTCTGGCCTTTTCCCTCAGCTTTTTTGCAACGGGAATAGGGATAATTCAATTTCTATAGACCGTGAATAAGCATTTTTAAAGAAAAATTGGGTCTAACAAAAAATTGGGGATCTAACAAAAGATATTTGTTAGCTGCTACCTGCAATAGTTTCGAGTTTCAATTTTAAAATTTCCATCTAGAACACATGACATTTAGACACTCTGTGATTCGTTAACTCTCTCACGCTCTTTCTACTTTGTTCCAAACGCATCTCATATTTTCAACGGGTGAAATTGAAAAGATTAATTGAAAAAAATTAATAAATATATTTGTTGTCGCGCAACGTATTTTTTAAAGAATCCGTTATTTTTCTGCTCCGGCAGAAATAGGCTGGTTCTCGGGCGTTTCTTTTTTCTCACTATCTCGAATAACATCCGTGTCGTATGCCGGCCATATTGGATGGCGCCAAAAAGACGGGCTGAAACTTCTTACGGACTACGACGAAGTGGCAGGATATATCCGTAAAGAATGACACTTCGCAATCGATATTTGCAAATTAACAATGTGCCGAGCCGTCATTGTTTCGCGAAAAGTACGCTCGTTGCATGGTGACATTATTACTCCATTAGAGAACGCACGGTCTACAGGAAGCGTAAAAAATATAATCTACTGACATGATAAATCATTCAGTAAGACAACGGAAACATCTGCTGGTTATTGTGCGACCTCGCGCGTTAAACTTCAGTATTCCGTACCGTACCGTAGCGGAATACTGCATGTCGGCGCAGTCGCGTCTTGTCCCAACAATAAAGTGAAATATTGTCCTCGCAGCATTTTGTATTCATGTAAGACCGGAGGAAATGCACTGCGAAAGGACGATCCAATACGCCGTCGAAGAAAAAATGGATTTCGAAGAGGCCACCAATCATGGATGAGCGGTCTCCCTTTTTTTGCGTTACTTTCGACATTGTTCAAGTGTTAGTTTTTTTTCTCTCTTTTCTTTTTTTTTTTTTTCTTTTAGGAATCAGAAAAGTAAGTGAAATGTAGCTCAATGTTTTGTTATTCTTGAACGTTAAATAGGAAAGTACAGAAATGCAGCATGAAACAGTCGAAAGCGATCCGACCAGTAATTAAAAAGTTATTTGACGTCAAAGGTCCGTTACGATAATACTGTTAGTAATTATTTTTTAAACAATTCTGTGAATTTAATTTTTTTCTTATATCAGGAACTCTAGAACTCATCGAAGAAAATCAGATAGACCATTCAGAACTATTCGAGCTTGATGTTCAATTTTTCGAAATTTTTAATTTTCTGGAAAAAAATCAGAATATCCTCTTATCTATCAGGAACTCTAATACTCGTCAAAAGACATCAAATGAAGCTACTCAGAACAGAATTCGATCTTGAAGTTGGGTATGAAGGTAGCATCCCATTTTTTAATTGCTATTTTAATACTGTTAATCGCCGGAACTCTTTTTATTAATATAAAAGAACTCTTATATTCTTCGAAAGGAAGCTAGAACTCCGATCAGAACTATCGAGAACTAAAGTTGGGGTGCTAACTTCACATACCCCACAAAGTCGAGCAGATTTTGCATGGAGGTAACGGAATTACTAATCGGCCAATTCGTCAGCAAATTGTTCTCAATCACATCACCTCACGAAGAAGTCAAGGCGCATCATTCTTTCACCGTGCCGGTCGCGCGGCGGTAATAATTTGTAATTTGGCCATAAAAAATCCCAATCTCTCGATTGTTATTTTAAAGCGGTCTCGCACTTTCCGCCTTATTTGCGAGCTTGAGTGACGACCGCTGCTCTGCGTCTACGTTTCACTCTCTCTCGCATTGTTTGGATTATTTCCGACTTTAACGCTCTGACGGAACCGCGTGTGTTTATTATCTCCTTTCTTCAATTTCGACCAAAAAAATAAAGATCTATATTCTTCGTGTATTTTTTAAGCTAGCCCGCGCACGAGCCAATTCACACACCCCAACTCCTCTCTATTTATTTCTCACATCTGGCGCTGTCGACTAGAAGCTCTGAATGTTCACGCGATCGCTCTATTATCTCGTTCTATTATTTAGTTATATTAGCTGCACGTTTTTGTACCACTTTTTGCCGCCGCGTTATTTTATAATGCAACGACAGATCCTCAGGACGATAATTTTTTCTCAGCGACGAGAAACCGACACTCGGGGGGAGGCAATCGCATTTCTTGCTTGTTGTTCGATTTCTATGGTGCATTGATCCGCGCAGGGATTGATTATTCCACCCTTAATGACATTCTTCTTTAGATTATTTTAAATAAATCCAACAAAGTTCAGGCATCTCTATTTCTGAGACATCAAAACACATATGCACGTTACATATTTTTTTTTTGTTAACAGGGGGGAAATCCTCATGGATATCTTCCGCTTTGGAGAGGAAAGATGGAAGTTATGCCGGACCCTTACTGGCTAACTCCCCCCCCCGTGCCTATCAGGCGAGCCGGAGTGGGGGGGAGTCGGCGCACATCACACTACTCTCTCTTCTCTTCGCATAGTTTTTGGTTCTCTTCTCTTTCCCCCACCGTTCTCGCGTTTCTTGGTCACCTTTTCTTCGCTTTAAAGTTTGTCCCACACGGTGTTTAACTTGCCATGATCACTTCTGGTTTGTTCACTATAGCAACGATTACTGACACATTGCCTATTTGAACTTTTTATCTGGTCATTTCACTTTAACCCAGAGCTTGCCACTACGTGCACATTTTGCCTGACTTTCCAACTCACTCCGGCGCTATTTCTCTTATGTCTTCCTCCGTGCGCGGCCCGCGAGCCGTATGAAGTTTAGTAACGTACGAATTTGTTTTTAATAGCTTTCCACGTCACCTACTATTGATACGTTCTTTTTTTTTTTTTTAACGCGTTGTACGTTACTGAGCTGTGCACGATTCGTGAGTCGCAAAAGAAAGGGAATAGCGGTCGGCGGAACGAACTAAAAATTGGGCAAAATGTGCAATTTGTACCAAGCTCTGTTTTAACCGAATATTATTATGCCACTTGATCGTGCGACGTGAAATCGGATGTTTGCACCGGCGGGTTAAGTGCGAGAGATCGAGGAGACTGCATCGGTCTCAGTTTCCGCATTGATTGAAGGATTAAAGCCGCAAAGGTGATTAAGAGACGCGAAATGGCGCGTCCCGCCGCGTGCGTCGGTTCCCGGCGGATGAAAGTCACATCTTGTCGGAATTAACTCCTCACGGTACCGCAATGCTTTTACAGCCTCTAATAAATCTGGATCAATTTTCAGAGACTTTCTTCTCGTGTTTCAACTTGATTCCCCGTGCCGCAATGTTGGTCCCTGTTGAGCCAGTTCGCTCGCTAGTACCAAATAGATCGGGAAACTCGTCGCCAAATTCAGTGCTGTTTCTGCCAATTACTCGCTCTAGTCCCGAACGTTACGCTCAAATCATTCAGTAAGAAATTGCAATGAAAATGAGGGGAGGTTACTTTCAAACTAGCTCTGATAGGAAATTGTAATCGAGAAAAGACGAAAACGCTTGAACTATGTTGTATTTATGTGCGAATTTGCAAGGTAACGATAGAGAAATGCAAAACGTAACTTTGCTGAAGAATCGGTCGAAAAAATCCGCTGGCGTGTAAATGTTCGCGATTAGATGTACTTTTGAGAAATATGAAGCAAACGAAGCGAGCGAAACATGAATCGAAAATGATTCTTACGAGCTCAGACATGCGAGCGGGATCCTCCTTGAAATTTGACTTTGACAAATGTGTCGAATGAACTCCCGCGGAAGCTGTCTCGACGATCGATGAGAAATTGACTAGTAAAAACTATTATTACTCATTGGCGAGATTCTTCCGTCCGTGCCGATCCGTGTCGGACCGTTTCCATCGCAACGACCGGCCACACTGAGAAAAAAGCTTCTATTCTGTTACAACAAATTAACGTTTGCTGTTTGATAATTGTACGGCGAACGAGTCAAATAGTCATCGCAACAAATCATTTTTCGTTATTTTAAATCTTAATAAATATACTTTGCCGGAGATGCGAATATGTTTATTGAAGAAGAGTTGATACAACTGATTTGCTCATACATAATTTCAAACATAATTTGCTCATCTTCTGTATTGCCGACAAATCAAAGATTTATGATTCGTTGTGGATTAACGTAACCATTTAATATCATTAATACCATTTGTTCGCGTTGTGAAATTGTTCATTGGAATAAAAAATCATAAGTAACAAATCGTTTGTTACCACGACGGCGTCATTCGCTGTCCCGCGTTAACAAACAATTTGTTACGGTTACTGGTGTTTCGTTAATCCAACAAAACTTTTTTTTTCAGAGCAGGAGAGCCGGCGCTATCTTGAAGCGCGGGAGGAGCTCATAACGCTACAATATTAGCTTTCGTTGCACCTGTGGACGTGCATCTACTCCTCTGAACTCGTGAAGAGCGAAAAATTGCGCTGGCGAGTATAATATTGTCGATGAAACACTCTTCACGAGTTCTCGTGGGCGGACGATAGATGCACGATAGGTATCTTGGATCAGATACCAGAAAATTCTCTCCTCCCGTCTCTATACTTCTTTTCTTACGATAACCCATTGCGTCGTTCATTGTGATGGATCAGAGGTGGCTTCGCAAAGCAGCCGCGCAAGAGGAGCCTCAGAAGGCAGCGGACACACAGATTGAAACGCTAAACGTGGAATTTAGCCTGGCCCTCGGTCGCTTATCGACCTCCGTCAGCGTCCCTTTTTTTCACTCGACCCACAATGAGATACTGCGGGCCTTTTTACGCGAGACGCGCGATATCGAATGCCTATACATAAATAACGGTGCGGACCGTGAAATACGAGTGCGTGTCGTTCGAGGACGCGCGCACAAAAACCATCCCAGCCTCGTCAGCTCCTCCGCGTATTATCGTCTGGCTTATTACAGCTGGTATCACGCGCTGCCGCTTAATTTAAGCAAATCGACTCCGTTCGAATCTGATATCTCGCCGACGACGCTCGTCGGCCAGACGATAAATGTCAGCCGCGGAATAAGAATCTTATTTATCCGCGCTTACGTATCCGCAATGACCGATTTGTAGCGTCAACTGCGTTCGGCTTCCCCGGCTTTTTACGTTCGACAAATTCGGCTCGATGAATATGCGATAAAACGAGCGAGGAGAGACAAACTTGGCTCAGGCGAAGAGAAGGACAACTCGAAATCAGAAGATTGTTCGAAATCGCGCTAGAATTGACCTCGGGCGCTTAAAGTCTTTTTCTCTCCCTCTTGCAATTAGCAATCAGCAACTTGCGACAGAACAATCTACCCGAATTCTGAGTCTCCGTTGGAGATTTGGAGTTTGCGTTTGCCGCGTTAATGCGGACCGCGAACACGTAATGCTCGCACGGTCGATCTGTCCTTCTTCAAGTTATCGCGGCTGGCAACCGCGCCGCCACGAATACGCCGGCACGAAGTAGTTCCCTTCGGCTGTCCAACGCGGGAAAATCTCTCGAAGTACGACGCGACAGATCGCGAGCTTCGGCGTAGGGCCTCGTTCAAACTCGCGGAACATTGTCCGACACACTTGTCGTCCTCGGATGGCATAATTATCACGAAATTTGCGACATTATGGAACACTCGGGACGGGCGCGGTCCCCATGTGCTGCCGCGCAGTGCCGTATGAAGACGTGGCGCACTGGCGGGACTCGCTTCTACGCGCGAAAGGCGACTTCGGGATGTCTCTCTCTCTCTCTCTCTCTCTCTCTCTCTCTCTCTCTCTCTCTCTCTCTCTCTCTCGCGAGATTTTTTTCTCAATCCAGACATCACGGAATCGAAGAGCGATAAAGCAGTGCGCTCTGACGCTTATGTCACTAATAGAGATATAATTAACGTACATTATTAATAATAAATAATAGATTACTTATAAATCGATAATTAACGTAAATCGATGAATGCATCTTCGATATGTCACACGAACGTGTAATTAGCTCTCTTTCTTCTCTTCATTCCGTGATTTCATTTCGTCGAGACACTTCAAACTTCGCGTCCGCCGACGAGACGCAACGACAAGCGCATCCTCCAAGCGCGAACTTGAAGAGAACAATTAACGATTCTCGATCGCAGCGGCTTTTTTGAATGAATACGCTGATATCTGATGACGTACGACGTTCGAACCGACGTTGATGGATTTTTTCCGTTTCCGTCGGCGAGAATTCGCGAGTTACCGCTCGATCGTCGCGAGCAGCCCTTGGTGGCCGTCACGTAACGGCGACACGGTGCTATCGACCGTTCTTTCCTGCACGATACACCACGAATTGCACAACATTATGTGTCAAGGGCTGCGTGCGAGCCACGTCGCGATGCACGTGGCGGAAAAGTGACAGCTAATTCATCGTCTCTCGGGGCGATGCATCACGCTCTCACGCAACGCGACGGTAAAGCGTCGTCTACAATGGCAGTAAGCGGTAAAAAGTAAGCGTGAATAGTAAGAAATAGATCAACCACAGTTGATTATTTTTGTCATAATCGACTGTGATTGGTTTATTTCTTACCGCTTACGTTTATTTCTATAAGCAAGTGGATGACGTCCACGGTGCTGCTGCTGCTGCTGCTGCTGCTGCTGCTGCTGCTGCTGCTGACCCAGAATCGCGAAGTTGCTCGGGTATCAATAGGAGAGAATTCCGGGAAATTTATCCTCGAGGACGCGCCGCTCTGACACCCACACAGTGAGATTTCTTCCACTTCGGAAGATCCCTAATCGACTACGGAGGAAACGGAAATCCCGGTGACGGGCGCACGAGAGGACCTTTCGGTTGTCATTCCGACTCTTCTCACGGGAAGAATCCTGAAAATAACGAAGATCTGGGGGGGGGGAGAGAAAATTCCGAAAAGCAAGAATAATTTTTTCAGAATTTTCCGACTGACGAGGGGCGAACGTCCGAGACGTTTAAATAATTTTGAGAGATTAGATAAAAAGTCTTTGTCTCTCTCTCTCTCTCTCTCTCTCTCTCTCTCTCTCTCTCTTTCTCTCTTTCTCTTTCTCTCTTTCTGACTACAGACTACAGCGTTCTTTAAACTCGTACATTCGCTTTATAATAAATATGACACGCTTTGACTGTGCGATTCCTGCTCGTTACGTTACAGGCTCAACTGGCTCTCCGTGGAGAATCGTAGAATATATTTCATTGGTTGCTTGTTATTTGCTATATTTCTACCACGCTATTCACCTCCATGATTATTATTTTTCTGCTTCCCTCCGAGGGCCAAGGAGACAAAAGTAAGCAGATAGTAAATTTCATGGTACAGGTGAAATTGGATTTTGGAATTCTTTACCAGACGAGTTGGTTTCGTATTCCAAATTTAGATGCAACTTTCCACCTTCTTGAAGCGCCTCGAAGCTTTCTCGAAGAAAACTGCTTATACAGCCTCCCTCATGCGCTAAACTTATATCTGTGTACTCGCGTTCTAAATAATTTGCGTTTGCGTTATTCATAAAACCTTGCGCTTTTTCTTTTACATTTTTGCGATTATCTGTTATATATATCTTGAGTTTTGCCTTGAGAGGCAAGATTCTCGCTACGGCTCCTTCGCATTATTTTATTTTTCTTTTTTTTTTGTATTTCCTAATGTTCTACATTATCACAAATTCCGCATTGCCGTCTAAGCATACTTGAATTCTTCTTACGTCAACCTACGGGGTTGTTTCCCCAGGCTACTAATAAACTATCTATCTCTCTGCGATGTCACATTTCTTGAATTTTTCCGGCATTTTTTTTTCAATGGAACGGTCAACTTGTATTTGTTCGCCGACATGGTTCTCCTCGTTCAAAGGAAAATCATTACTATATTACTTACAAAATCCGAGGCATCCCTTAACGGAAGCGGCAGACACGAAGCGACTCTGTGAAAAGATCGTAGTTTCTCTGGACGGCTTAAAATGGCATAAAGATCGACTGTACTACGTGGCACTTAACGCGTTGGAAAAGTCATATATCAAGATAGCAGCAGCGCTTTTTTTTTTTTACCATCGAGCGCAATAACTCACACGTGTAGAATGCGAAAACAGAAGCGCGTACCTCTGCAAGCAATTCCTTCGGAAACACATCGCGCAACGAAAGGAAGTCGTTATTGGGTTACTCGCTCAAAAGGCCGGAAACGTAACGTGTAGATTCATAATGACCGAGCGATATGCTCGCGCCCGCGGCATTGCAACATTCGTAACGCGACGGAATATGCAGGCGCTTCTCAAGATTCGCGTCCTAGACTTTTTTGCTGGACTTACTTACTTTATGCATAAGAACGTGTTCACTTAGGACAGAGCTCGGCAAAATGTGCACGCGACGGCCGATTTTCGACTATCTTCGCCCACCGCTATTCCCTTTACCTCGCCGCTCCGCGCGCTGTCTACAAAGCCGCTCGAGTCTCAGTACATATAAGTACACTGCAACACCCGCGTTTAAATTAAAGAACTTTGTACCCACTCATTCGTCTTCAAAGCCGGCGGCAAACCTATCAACTACCCCACACAAATCGGTAACGGAGACATTAGACGTAGAGATTATTGACCTTGCTCGAGATGACGAGTTTAATAATAAGTCAGCTACATATATATTTCAACTAGAATCTTACTCACTTACAAAACCAGCCCACAGATTGCCATATTATCTACACCTAAAACCATAAACCAGGATGCTAAAGGGAATTGCGGTGATCGAAATGGGCTGTCACGTGCACATTTTGTCGAGCTCTAACTTAGGCCGAATATAATACAATAGCAAGATGGCAAGAGGAACATGGTTCCATCTTTCTCTGTCACTTTCTCGTGACAGTGATTTTAGCCGTGGAAGGAAACTAATACGTTCCGTTAACGACTAATTTTTACCCAGCGTCTTTCCCGTCTTACGCGAAGACACGCAAATCACCCAGACGGAAATTTCATTTTTCTCCGGAATAAACCATTAAACCTTGAATATCTTTAAACCCCGAACATCGTTAGAACTCTAGAACAGAAAAGTATTCTTCCTGTATGAGCGAAGTTCGTGACCAACAAAAGAGATTTTTGATTTTTCTGCTGAAAATTACCTTAAATTTTACAAACTTACAAAGGTCTTCGACTCTTCATGCTTCATGCTTGCTTTGAGAGACGTTAAAATTCCTTGCACAGGAAAGACGGGCACTTTAACGGATATTTTCCCTGCAATGACACGCGGATGACGGCAGCCATGACGGGCTCGGAAGAGCCTCGAAGAAAATGCGACCGCCGTTCCGCGGAGAGCCGCGAAAGAAATTCGGAGGGCAGATCGCGAGCCGCGGCACGGACGATCGCATGGGCGGCCGTGGGAGAGATGGACAGGGCGAGTCGCGGCATTGAGTCCTGGTACTGGTTCCGACAGGTTGCCGACCGCAACCGCGTACTCGTCGTCACCACGTTTCTCCCATGATCAGCTTCACGTGAGACGACGGATAAATTGTGACGTATTACGTACGCTCGTCGGAAAAAAAAAGAAATGCGGATGTGTTCATGTGCATTGTTTGACTCGATCCGGCAACCGTCCGTCGATCATCAATCGTCGAGTTTTCCCTCAAGGTTCTCAACCCAGAAGGCTGCAGCTTAAATAATGCAAGACGGAGGAAGAATTTTACGGGGGAAATGCCATTTGGACCGACATAATGGCTATTCTGTTTGAGATTTGCAGGACGTATTATGCGCAGAAAAATATTCTAGTTAATTTAATAGTTTGATAGTTAGTTTAATAGTTGCGACAATTATTTTTTTTACTAAATTTTCTATTACATCAGGTTCAATTGCGGTAAAACAGAAAATTCTCCAACCGTTTCGCTAACTGAAGAACCATTCACATCAACAATTGTTTCCGATTGACGGAACAGAAATTTTCGGTCGCGAAAATATAATGACCCCAGCAGAGTATTTGGCTATTCTTACAGAAGGCATCTATATCTATATCTATATCGTACATATATACAGGGTGATCCGAAATTCCCGCATTCGGAGTACAGGACATGATGTTTTATGCTAAAATGAACAATTTTTCCTTTAGCAAAATTGCGTCCGACAAGTAGTTTTTATAGGAGAACGTGTCAAAGGTAATGAATAAGCGCTCTTGTCTATGACCGCGTTCCGATATTCACTGCCAACACTGAAAATCTATAGTATACGTAACATAAACTATGTATGTCGGAACTAAACTATGAAATATCATAAATACCATAAAGTATCATGTCCTGTACTCTGAATGCGGGAATTTCGGATCACCCTGTATAAAGAGAAACGAAATCTCTGAGTTATCGCGACCAAAAAGATGTTGTTTGAAAAAGCTGATTAACGTTGCCAATAGTGCGATTTTGAACCCGTGTGTGTAATTTTCCGCTCTACTTACGTACATAAAGGCGCTTTGTTAATTCATCGTCTCTCGGGCATAGAAACGATAAATTATCTATGTGAAGACAGTCGTCAAATGGATACAGCGAAAGTGCAACACTATTTGCAAGATATATATATTTGTGTAAGCCCATATTCTGAATTCTCTTTCGTCACTAAAAGTGACTCTAAAAGTAGTTTACAGCCAATGAGAACACTTATAAGCCACTTTTACAGTCATTTTTAACAATAAAAGAGAGTTTAAAATATGAGCCTATGTCATCATCTGTATTACCCTTACAAAAATATTTCACCGTTTTTAGCCCTCAAAAATCAGTTTTGATTGTAAATTTGAGTTGTACAAAGTGTGCATTCAACTCAGCGAGCATGACACCGTTTTTAGGTCGAAAAGGGGCACTTTTACTTAAACAATGAGTGGTGAAAACGGATTTGTCGATTAGTAAAAACGAGTATATCCGAGTAGTAAAAACGTACTATTTAAATAAAATTTATTTAAATAAAATTTAAGTAAATTTAAGTAAACAATTTAAGTAAAATGTACTTTTAAGCAAATTGTCCGTCTTTAACACTCTTTTTTCAGCTGCGAGTAACGTTAATACGTACGTTAATACGTACATTTTTACTCAATTTATTTCAATATCGTGAGTAAAAGAGTAAAAGTACGTATTAACGTGCAGCCATTCATCAGCTGAAAAAAGAGTCTTGAAGACGAGCAATCTGCTCAAAGATACTCATGCTCAAAAATACTCGCGTATACTCGTCATAATTTTGCGCTCTATATGCTGCGCGGGCTTGAGAGTGCAAGAAACGGACATAAAAACGAAGAAACAGCTAGAAAACGGGCCAAAAACGGGCAATATGAGGATGATAAAAACGGTGAAATATTTTTGTAAGGATATTGTGTCAAAAAAGATACATTAACTATAAATATGTTTGCCTCAATTGAAAAAATTCGCTACATTAGCAGATTTTTTAGTTCGCAAAACATTCAAATTCAAAAGGCGAGTTCAGTAGTGCGCGCACTGCTCAACTTTAAATCTGCCACATTACACTGTATACATACACGAAACTCGGCAATTTTGCTGCTATGCCCTTAAATTTCCACAAATTCCAGTCTTTTATTGTTATCATTGTCTTGTCATGTCTTTTATTATTATTGCTAGGACACCCGCGCATTCACTCGCTCACTCACGGCCGACGCTCGCGACTTCACGATATTTCCAGCATTCGCGCTCGGGGCCACAAACAGGCACTGTTAACATTAATATTTCATAACAATTTTAGAACAGACACTTTTTATAAAACGAAGACATTTGACTTTTGTGATTTTTGTGAAAAAGTTCAGAATCTACGCGGCGGTAATATCGCACGTCAGCAGCAACGTCCATTCGATTCGACGTATACGAACAGACTGCGAAAGTAAAATCTAACTATCTTTGGCCGTCGGCGGGAGAACCATTCGCCCGTTCAATTCTTCCATATGCGAATGTTTCCGTATGTTTCATTATTCATTCATTTCGCGGTACCGTCGATATATATAAATCGAGCCGTCTCAACTTGCCATGAATATTATGCAACATTATTGTCATGATGTTGATAATGTAATGAAATAAGGCGACTGTGGTGAATACATTTTGTTTTCGTCATTCCGATGAATAATAATAGTTATTTTTTTTTTAACAAACAAACAAACCACTGATGTGTCACAGTGAGGAGACCGAGTCGCGAAACTTAGTGTATAAATTTGCAGTGAGAAATGGGAGATAATTGCTACGCGCGAGGTACATAATTCAGTGAAAAAATGAAGAAAGACTTCTTTCGACGGCAGAATCTCGCGAGAATGATGCTTCAACGGTGCTAAATATCACAGAAAAAGAGCGAAAGGACTTGTCGGCTGCAATTGCCGATTTTGCAATAACGCGAAATAGATGATGCAATTCTTCGCGCTGTGAACAAGAACATTTCTCCTGGAAAGAGTAATTTGATCCGATAATTTGATCCTCCCGATGTATCGGATATATCGCGCGGCGATATCTTCACGTCGCGCCTAATAATGAGTATTTTCGGCATTCCGGTATTTTTCTAATTCTGTCGAATCTATAAATATATTTGGGATTGCCGAATACGAATATTTTTTATCGAAATCTGAAAGAGAGAAAAGGAAGGGAAAAAAGGCACATAGATTGTAGATGTTGAAAATTTATCGGCATTTGCGTTAAAATTCCTCCGCGAGTGGATATCCTATCGGAATTTAAATTCGCGTGCATTACTGCAATGAACTCTCTATTTCGCTCTGGATCTCGATGATCAAAACTTCCTGACAATTGCGAGCGATTTGCCGATGAAGAAATGATGAGCATTTGATATCGGTTGATTTTTAATTGATCAAAAATGATCATAATTTATGGAAGTGGACTGACATTTCGCCCATTTCTTCTCGGTTCCACTTCCATGCGTATCGAGATCCCTCTCCACATTGCACTTTCCACGAATTTTGAGAATTTTAGGTAATGCAAACAACTGATTGGATAGAATCAATGGGCTGAGCTCATTGGTTGATAGGAAATAGGGGAACCAATAAAAAAACTGTGTTAGAAAGAAATGGAACAAAAAAAAGGAGGAGAACTTGCTTATTGCACAGAAGACGTTGCTCTTTAATGCTTCGTCCAATGTCTATCTAGCACCATTTTAGCCAACAAGTTTAAGGGGGATGGTAAAGGGATAAAGTGGCTGATACGTTCCTGAGTTCGCGCTTCTGGTGGGGCAACTAAAGAAAGAGAACTGCAGTAAGCGGCGCTTCAGTCTCGAGCCGTCTGCTGAACAGTTCACTTCGCGGTAAGCTGTCGACATCGAAAGAACTACGCGTGTGACACAGTGGAAGAGATCAGTCGCCGCACTCTCACTTCTACATACACTTGTACATATCGCGCCGATAATGAAATTCTACTCTTGCTTGGCACAACACAAAAGTGACCGAAGCAGGCATAGTAGGATCAGCGGCGACACGAGTAACATCGGTATTCCGTTTCGGTATAGCACAGTCGACAGTATTAGAAAGACAAACGGGACGTTGCTTTCGTGTGAACGACTGGATTGTCGGATATCGTAATAATCGTGGGTGTTCGCTTACGCGGTTCTAGCGAATTCACCAATCGGTTATCGGTGGTACTTATTGTGAATTTATAAGCGCGCTCAACGTTAGTGACACCCTCTCGTCACGCTAAAATCACAGCAGAGAGCGGGAGGAGAGAAAGAGAGAGAGAAAGAGAGAGAGAGAGAGAGAGCGAGAGAGAGAGAGAGAAAGAGCGAGAGAGGGGGAGAGAGAGAGAGAGGGAGAGGGAAAGACAAAAGGGGTGCAAAAAAGGAAGAGTAAGAGAAACAAAGAGAGAGAGAGAGAGAGAGAGAGAGAGAGAGGCAGAGGAGGGAGTGAAGACAGAGGGGAAAGAAGAAGCGGTGGGCTACTAGAGCAAATTGGTTCATCGTGGTCCGAATAAGTTCATACAGCTCACAAGGCGATCATTCTCAGTTTCGAGCGGCTATAGTACACAACTCCAGAAGCTACGAAAATGGAAATGGATATCCCGACCTCACTCACCATGGAATGGAAGTCCGCCTTGGAATCATCACAGGAGGAGCTGAGAACGATGACATCCTATCTACGTGAGACGGAATTCGTAGACTTCGTGAAGAGAACCATGAACTTTGACTTGTTAAATTTCGCGTCCAAAATTCAAGAAGGTTCGTAAAACATTATTTCTTACTGAGGCTTACTTAGACTACACGTTGATTTCCACCGCCGGCTTCGATATTCGATTCAACTTCGAATCACCAAACGCGTTACACACATCTGAGGCAGTACCTTCACCCGGCTTATATTTTACCGGTTTGGATAAATTAATTCTTTGCGCAGCGATATCCCGCGCTTTCTACTTGGTGTCATCCAAATCCACGCGAACCTCTCTTTATTTCGTGTTCAATTCGCAACAACGACAAGAATAATATCTTCCCGCCGGTATGTGTCAAAGCGAAGAAATATAACCGGCGGATCCGGTCACGCTACAGCAACGCGCCGCAAGTATTCTTGATCCTTGTTGCCTAGTTGAGAGACAGAGGGGTCTTCTCAATTATTTGCTATCAAATGTACTCAAAGTGGACGCGGGTGTATACAATTATCGCGGGCGCAAATGCAGCGGCCGAGGACTCCCGTCGTGCTTTACTTGGCGTTTCTCACCCGGCTTATATCTCACCGGTTTCGACAAATTAATCCTTTGCGTATAGCGATATCCCGCGCTCTCTACTTGGTGTCAGCCAAATGCACCTCTCTTTATTTCATATTCGATTCGCAACAGCGACAAAAATAATACCTTCGCGCCGCTTTCTACCAAGATGAAGAAGCACGCGCTCCACCTTTGGCGTTTCTAGCTGACCACCTTACGCGCGCTCCACCTTGCATACGCTTGCTATACGCTTGCTTGTAAGCTTGGACGCTTGCTTGTACCAGGGCGCGCGCGCGCGTGCGCGCGCGCGTGCGCAGTGTAGGTGCCGCCGCGCGGCGTCACGCGGCCGCGTGGGTGGAGACATCGCGATGTCCGCCGGCTCCGCGACGCGACGCGACGCGACGCGATCTCTCAATCGGCCGGATCCCGAGAGAGATCCGGTCACGCTCTGTGAAATTAGAAATTCGCGCGCGGCTTGACGACGACGCGTTCGCCACCCTGCGCCGCTCTTCGGCCCTTTCGCCCTCTCGTCGGTGTCCTTGGCGGCTACGCACACGCGAGAGAAAGTGACAGATTTGTGCCGGAAAAATATCACCCGCGCGATGGAGACTTCTGCTCTCACCTTTTCGTCGGTGCCCTTGGCGGCTACGCACACGAGAGAGAAAGTGACAGATTTGTACCGGAAAAATATCACCCGCGCGGTGCAGTGGAGACTTCTGCTCTCGGGTGGGTTCCCTTCGAGGACGTGAGAGTCGCAAGTAGGGTGAGGGGGGTTCCGTTAGACGATAAATTGGAGCAAATTTACATAGGGTGGGCACGGAACGCTCGGCCGTTTGGGGGGTGTTTTCCTTTAATCTTCCGCCTTCTAATTTAGCATATACTCTCGTCTGAGTCTCTAAATCCAACGTCTTCGGCGCCGGCGCCGGTCACGAGTGTGGGAGATCGCTACGTCACACACAATGCGCGCCGGTGATAATACCCGCGTACGCTCACCGCGGCAAGATCAAATTTGCTTTGCACGATTATTAAAAGTCGAATCGAGCGCCGGAGCGCTTTCTGCCTCGGAGCGCAGGTTTTCGCGGCAATTTCCCGAGTGACAGTTAATCACTCGAGCGGTGATCTCACTCTCGAGCAGCCACGCGACCATGACAGCTTCGTAGAAAGGGAGCCCATTTCATCAGTCCATAAGTTGGGAAGATCACTCGCAAAACCTCCTTCAACTATGTTTGCTAAAGCTTTAGCACCGGCATCAGGTGTAAATCATTCACATGTAGATTTTCCACAAGTTTTCCCCAACCGTAGAGTTTTCGTGGGCGTCCCAGTAGCCTCTACTGCTTATGAAAAATACCCCTCATAATCATTTCTTGAAAAGTTTCACATTTTGTTGAGGCCAATCGTTGCCTGCTGCGAACACTGGAAAGTTGGTCTCGCTTCATCACTAATCTTTTTTCTACGCGCTTCCCGCTGCGCGATTCTAAGGTTGATTGAAGGTTAACTAAAGGTTCGTCCTTTCACGGCAAACAGAAAGATAAGCCGGGAGACGTCGAGCACGCGCGCGCGCGCGCGTGCGTACGCGATACGGGTAATATAATTAACATAGCTGCCCTATAATTAACGGCTTCGCTCTCGTCTGCGCGCTTTCGCGCGAGAGCCGCGAGAGCCGCGAGAGCCGGTTCATCGAACCTTCGGCCGCTCGCGCGGCACCGAGCCCGTCGATGGGGATGAATCGGAGGAGTGCCGATGTGACGCTTCTTAAAAACTCGTGTCACACGGAGTCGAGTGATGCGGCGCAACATGCTCGCAAGCTTCAGCGTGTGACCTGTGTGAAACCCTTACGACCTGTTTTACAAGCGTTTCAACAGAGCGCGAACCGCAAAAACCACAGGCACGACGCTGTCACCAAGCCGTCGCCTATTTTATTTACCGTCCTTTCCGCCTTCCTTCTTTGACTAAAAGCGTGAACACACGCCCGCGCCGAAACCGGCGGTTTTACTACACAATATCAGCCGTTGTCAAACATGCCGGTAGACAGAACTGACGATCTGTCACTTGCTTGCCTCGGCTACGCGCCTCGTGGCCCAGCACGAGCGAGCCTGGTAATGACTGAAGAAACCCGTTGTTTCCCACTCCCCCTCCCCGCGCTCGTTCCTCCCTCTCGCTCTTCCGTCTTCGCCCCCTTCATTCTCGCGCCGCGAGGGACGCGTATCAGGTGTGTACCGTGGAAAAGTGTGCGTATCTCGCCGGGTCTCTACCTGTTTTGTTATGTATATATGTGTGTGTGTGTGTGTGCGCGCATGTGTGAGTGTTACACGCGCAAAACGCGACGCTCGTAGCGTCGTGAATCGCGCCCGTCCGCGCGCGGCCGAAAGTGACTTTTCGTTCTCGCTCGACCGAGTGTCCTTTATTCACGCGACACGCTATTCGGAACGACCGCGCTAATCCCGCGGCGCGGCGGCAACGCGCGATTTAGTTCAGCGTGAAAGTGCCGGGGAATTCCGCTCGCGCTCTCGCTCCGGGCTTTGATTTCGGAAGCACGCGCGAGGAACATGATCTCTCTCTCTCTCTCTCTCTCTCTCTCTTCCCCCCTCTCCCTCCCGTTCTCTCTCGTATTGTGCTTTACATTCGCTCTGTTTTCATCTGTTATTCTTCGTCTTCTTTTGCCTCGTGAAAAACCGCATGAACGCTCGGCTCCTCTACGGAGCCTGCGGTTTTGCCGCCAAAAGCTCCGAGCTACGACGGCGCCGTCTGTCGACCTCGCCTTAATCATCTTCTTCTTCGTCTCTTTCGTCTAATTAAAAAGTAAAACTACGAAGAAGCTCGACTTCTCTACAGCCGCAGTTTTGCCGCCAAAAGCTCCGAACTACGACGGCGCCCTCTGTTAACCTCGCGAAGCATATCCGCGTCGAGCGCGCGTCATAAGACGTCCACTCTGTCTCGCCGCGTTTTTCAATATATACATAAATATACATTTATCCGTATATTTGCTTAGGCATCTATATATTTCAAGGACGATGAAAAAGCGCTATTTTTCCTACGATAACAGTCGCACGGCGCTCAGATAAATATCTCGTCTGCGTAAATCTGCGCCTTCTATGACGTACGCAGAATTAATTGGTACCCTTGTGCTTTGATCGATTCGTCGAAAAATACACACTGCATTCCATTAAATGTCAATTAATTCATCAAATTAGTCGACTCGAGTATCTCACCAGTTTGCGTATCTGCCACAAATCTGTCACAGTTCATCGTAAACATACAACCCGGATCCGAGAAAATTGAATATTTCAATCGAGAATATTAAAAATTGCATCTGAAGCGTAGAGAATTAAAGTTCAATTTGCTTTCTGCGCAGAGCAACTATCATAATATATTCATAAAAAGAGAATAAATTTTCTATACCAAATAAATATTTTAATTTGTACATATAAATATTAATTTGCATAAAATAAATAGGATGGATTTCGAGTTAAAACGAAAATTTAACTTGCTTTCTACACAGAGCAACTTTCATAATATTGATAAAGAGAGAATAAATTTTGCTTTTCAGTACAACATGATAAGTTTTTCGTAAATTTGTAACCTGTAAATTTGTGTATCCTCCGTATTACCAAGAAAATATTTTTTTGAAGATAATCATTATTCGAAGGAAGGGAAGGGAAGGGAAGGAAAGGGAGTTGGGGAGGGAATGCGGGAGCAGTTCCCCTAACTCCCCCTCCTCACGGTCCGACAGGTAGACATCCCGCAGGGGTTTTAGGTAAGAGTCCGACATAACCCCCACCCCTCCCCAAGGGGGCGGGAGTATCCATGATGGATTTCCCCTGCGTGAACAAAAAAAAAAAAAAGGGGGAAGGGAAGGGAAGTAAACTTCGGAGAGTAATCGCTCTTCTCGGAATACTTTCCTCCGCGACCGTTATTTCCTTTTTCCTTTCTTTTGTCACCAAGTTGTGGAAAATGTCGGCAGCATTGCCGTCACCTTCCTCGTGACTCGTCTACGCATGCGTTATCGCGCCTCATTTTCTTCCTTCGCTCGTGAGAGGAGGAGGAGGAGGACGCGTCTCCCGCGAGTCTCCACTTCCGCGCGAACTGATTTCATTTTGGCGCGGTTATTCTATCGGCCGCACGCGTCGACCCGTTTGATAAAGCTCGCCGACCGATAAAGCCGGTTTTGACGCGATAAAAAAAAAAGAGAGAAAAATGACTGGGCGCGTGCGTTTCATTGAGGACCGCCGCTGGAAAAGCTCCCGCCGCTCCACTGGGCGCGACTTTTCGTATCGACTCTCGGCCCTTAATTAGCGATCCGGCGGAAAACTTGTCGACTCGTTACACGCTCGAGCGATAATGTGTTCGGCGGAAGCCGGACATACTTGCTTATCTAAAGCTGAGGACCGGTTTTCGCGCTCTCTCTCTCTCTCTCCCCCCTCTCTCTCTCTCTCTCCCCCCCCTGTGTGTGTACGCGCGCGCGCGCGTGTGTGTGCGTGTAGGCAGCCGAGGGGATTCGATCGCACAGGGAGCGATCGTGTCGCACACGCACGCACACATACACACGCGCGCGCGTAGTACATTTTCGAAAGTCCGGACGAGAGTCCGGCTGCACGCTTTATCAGATCGCTCGAATAATTTCTCCCGGCGACGCCGAGCGATTCGGACGTTCGGGCGATTTTGATGCCGCCGGTGAAATTGCTTTTCCTAAAGGGGAGAGACACCGACCGTGCGCGACGGCCGCGACGGCCGCGGTCCTGCGCCGGAGCCGCAGGAGTGGAGGCCGCACGCACGACTAAGCGGGATCAATTCCGGGGTGGCGCTGGCGCGCGCGGTGAAATTCAATTTGACAGACGCGGGATATTAAGCGGCGCGTTTTTCGCAATATCGCTAACGAACGCGCAAGGCACCGCGCGAGGCACGCTGGAGCGCGATCGATCTCTACGATCTCGACGAGTTCTCACGAGCTGACACGCTGCCAAGTACACGGCGACCGTTTGCGAGTGCGAATACACGTGCAAATATTTAGAAGAAATATTTAGACAAAAGTTGGCGCGATATAATTATTTATCGATCGAACAGAAGCGGCTCGCGTCGCGGCGAGAGCTGATATATCGTATTGTCGTTCGTCGCCGTTGAAGGCCTCGCGTTGAAAAAGAAACGATGTTGATGACGGTACATTAAGCGAGCGAGCTCGGCGCGGGAAGGGAGGGCGGGAGGAGGGAGAGGGGCCATCGGAATACCTGAGTATAATATAACGATCAAGAGAGACACGGTGTCTCGCGCCAAGTGCAACGACCGTGCGTATTCACGTGACGCGCCTAGTCGACCGCTCAGGCACGCCGGATTACCGGATTTACCCCAGTCGCGTTTATATTAAATTTAATTTGACATAGAGTGTCGAACACACACGCACGCACGCACGCACGCACGTACGCACACCGATCAATTGAGCATTTAACGGACTCCTCGATCGTGTAGCTCGGTGAGCATTTCGGGGGAGGACATTATCGCGCGGGAAGAACACTTGGGAATTTCTGTAGAAATTTCGTCTCGTCAATAAACTAACAAGATTAATGAGTGATAATAAGATTGACAATAGGACTCTTTTCTTCCACTCTCTTCCCGCGAGATTTAATTTTACTATGCTTTCCGGCGGTGCAGTGTCTAATCAAAGTCTCGCCTTCGACTTAAACTCGGCGTCAGTGTTCTTTTTTCTTCCCACAGTGATCCAATGGTTTTTGATATTTTAGTACCGGACTAGGAAATGTTCTACACTTTTAAAAAATCCTGCGTTTGCAATGACGTACCTCGCGTTTGCCTGTGCTCCGACGGAGGCGTCGGAGCACGACGTTCAGATCGTGAAAAGAAGGGAAATTTGTTGTCGTCACGTTTAAACGAGGCGTCTTATCCTCTTTCACGTCGAACACGTACTCGAATTTTTTTATAAATATCCTAACGCAAGAGAGCGACACGCGAAACACACGTCGCCTCGACCAAAACACAGACTTGCCAACGCGCGGCTGTTTACGCGCGTGATCGTTTGTTGTCTACGCGTGCGAAGCGATCAACGAGAGCTAGTGGCTTTATCTTTTTTTCCGATGCTGAGACTCGGGACGATCTTTTTCACCTTAGCCGATCGTAGTAGCTTCGTAGTGGCCGTTTACACGCAAGGGATATTTGTCAGGGACGTGTCAATTAAATGTCACAAATGTCAGGTCGCATACGCGTGATTGCCGATTCGATCGATCGATCGGGTCACACGAGCGCGTTACGACATATCGCTCCCTTATCGCATCGTCGTAACGAGCCGAAAAGTTCGTTCCGATCTTTTAGTCAGACTTTTGTAGGCAGTTGTTGCATTCGGTGGAACTCGATTACACATATCGTTAACGTTGCCGGTATTTGTACATTTCTGTTACGGAAAGCGGTATTGCAAAACAAAAATCAGACCGGAACTTTCTAGCCGACTCGATGCCATTCGCGCGTGCTGATGATGTATCTTTATCATCGTCATTGTTATTATCATTGTTACCATCGCGTTGTTATTATCATTACTCTTACCGATGACATTAATTTCGGGACGCACCTTATTCGGAGGGTATTTAAGCGGAACGAAGGTCGTTCGTTTCTTTATCGCGCTTACAGATGCTTATTAATTGGCGATGCGTCGATAATCACGATAATGTGAAATTGCGCGGCGCGTTGCAACGTTGCAACGTTACGGTGACGCAATATGACGCAGCGGGAAATTAATCATCGCAGTCACCGTTGAATTTGTCAGAAAAAATCGTTTCCGATGTGTTTGTACGCGAGATTGCCGATAGTAGTGGTGATGAAAATAACGATAGTTGTGGTGATGAAAATAACGATAGTAGCGGTAATGAAAACAACGATGATGATACGTGATAAAGCAATCTGAAACATCTCGCAGGCCGCACCACGAAGCTTATCGCACCGTATTGCCGATAATTTACAAGATACGTAGAAGATTTTCCCATGTAGTTTAACGAGTGGTCAGACATACGAATTAAGACACTCGCTATAGTGAAAATGTCTATAGTAAAAACTGTAGTAAAAATATCAAGCCAGTAAGAAAACGTTGAATTGCGTTGTGCACGGACGAAGGACAGCGGCGTGTTGTTAACGGTGTATTGTTAAACGCAGGAGCCGCTCAACGAGTGCATTACACAGAAAGGAAAAGTCTCGCCGAGTTTGTTTCGTCTCGTTTTGTTTCTCTCGACAATGTTACCATGCGTGCCGCGCGACTTGGCACAATTGTCAACTATACGCGAGTCTGTAAGCGTCAAAAGTAAAATGAATCTCTTTGTTTTCTTTTTCCAGAAGATGACTCCAGCGTGTCTAGTCCAACGTGCAAATATACCACCTCTTTCGCACACTTCCGTGCCATGTGTTGGACTAGACAGATGCACGAATTTTGGACGCATGTAAAAGAACAATACATGGAGTCAGAGGCGCGTAGATGGACATCCGAGCCGGAGGACTCGAACGGAGCTTCATCGTATGTCGATGATCTTGCTGCATGCAAGAAATGCATGTGGAACGGGTACTGTCCCCTCCCGAGAAAAGATGGAGAAGACCACTGCCATCGGAGAAGACATCTCTCGAGGCGGGTCAATACTGATCTGAAGGAGGAACTGAAATGCCCTGCGTTAAAAGACAGGCAGGAAGAAAAAACTGTAGCGAGCAGAATACAAGAAGATCTACTCTGGACAGCAATAGACGCGGAACTAAAACAGCTGGATAATAAAGATCACAACCCAGCTGACAATATTAAAGAAAAAACACCCCCGCAACCACCAAAGGATGACCGGCTCCAGGACGCACCGCAGCACCAGCAAGAAGAGGAGAGCCGGCATCCTTCGCCGCCAAAACAACCAACAGTACCGGGCCCAGTTCTGCTCGATACAACAAAAGCAAACTCCTTCAGATCGAAACCATCTATTTCTGGGAGGGAGTCCGACGACTCTGACGAAGGGTCGGTTAATCGGCTTAACAACAGCGTCCGAAAAGCCCGAAGAGCAGTAACCGCGCAAGAGGATCGAAGCCGGCCAGTCCTCGTTTTAACACCGCCGGCTTCTGATGAAGTTCCGACGAAGACCAGCCTCATCGAGTCCGAGGACACTCCGGGTGAAGTCTACACGTGCGTCGAGGATGAGGTGCGGCAGGATGTAGCGGTCTGTGAAGAGTTTTTGAATGCAAAACTCAATTGCTTGACAGACCACAGCTACTATCAGAACCGGCCGCACAACATGGACTGCCTCGGGATACAAACGCCGTCCGAATCTGGTGAGTTTGTTGAATTAGTAGTGCTGGATTACACACTGCGTCCTGCTAGACGACGGTAGGAAATCGACTTCGTCAGACCTTCGTCAGGCTGGCTTTTGGGTGTCGCGCACCGTCGTTTCGTCTTATACGAGACCAGTCAAAGAGAAGAGAAAGAAGTTTTACGCGAGACTGACGAATTCGTGCCTACCCACGTCTAAGCGGACATTGCGAATGCAAGCTTTGTAGCGCTGTGCCGTGATCAACCACTACATTTTGCTTTGCTCTATATGCCGTCTTACTTTGTATAGTCATATTGTACTGTCATATTTTTCTATTCTCTTCATCTTCTACTATGCCTCTTCTTCTATGTTTAATGTCTCTAGCATGTCACAAGTCATTAGAAAGTCTCAGTCACACGCTTTGTCAATTGCTCATTAATTGCTTACTTATTCTATTATTCCATGAAAGCGGTTGGCACTTGAAATACCTGATTGCTGATTAGTCTTGCACGGGATTTTATCGGGTCTCCTCGTCTTTACGACGTGTGTCATCTCGCAGTCTCTCTCAGCGTATCGCGGTCGCGACTATGTAACGCGGCGAACGCGCACGCTTCAATAGCGTAGTGTATCGTGTGGCAAGTTTCGATTCGACGCTCCGCACGAGTGTTGGGCAAATTCTCAAATTCTCAAAGGGGAACATTGTCCCGCGTACAGAGTATTTATTTACCGGTCAAGGGGGTGCGCGCGTAAACCTCTCGACGGGAGTATTTCCGTCCCCCGCGGGGCGCAAAAACGGAAGGGCGAAAGGGAGGAGAAAAGAAAAAAACGGGGGAAAGATCTATTTAACTTGTAAATGCCGCGCGTCGAGCACCGCGAGTCTTCTATGAATTTTCTCGCATCCGACGTTATTTCGAGAAGTCGACGGATATTTGCAGTGTATATCCCCCTTGAGAGGAGACGTTTCAGCGAAACCGTTTCGCCCAACGGCCATTAAATGCGCCAAGTTCTTTCTCTTCGTACGCACGCACGCACTCACGCACTCACGCACTCACGCACTCACGCACGCTTTCGCGCACGCACGCAAGCACACTCGTGGTCCCGCTCGTGTAGCCCGTCTTCTGTTCTCCTAGCCTTCTCCTCTTCTCCTCCTTGCGCTCGACGCGCACAATGCGCGCGCGGATATCGAGCGCACTCGTGCGTCCCTCGTGAAATAGCGCCGTGGACAATGAGGCTGATTCGCGGCGGCGCATCGTCATTCCCGCGGCAATTCCCGAGTCAATATTGACGGAGAATGCTGCGCGCGTAGCCGCGCGCGGCGCGTAAACGTGACTTAATTGCCGTCCGATCGCCGTCTCCGCGAAGGCGCGAGAGTTGATAGGTCGCCGATCCGCCGATCCGCCGTCGAGAAGCATCTCCTCGTCGTCTCCTCCAGCGCGACTCGCCGCGTGTCGCCGCGCGTCCGTCGCAACTGTGTCGAGGCTAAGAAAAGTCGTCTCCGTCGCCTCCGTCTCCGCTGCGAATCGCGAAGCACTCATCTGCCGCTGAGAATCGCCGTGGTTCTGCTTCTCCCTTTCGTTCTCGTCTCCTCTCTCGTCTGCGGGAATACAAAACAGAGGAGACTCTCGTTACTTACTCGACAGCGGTGAATCCCGCGGGAATTCGGCTTTCCCGGCCGGTCTCGCGCGTGACGAAGCGGCGAAAGTTCGCGGAAACATCGCTCGCTCGTTCGCGCGATAAACTCGCGATAGTCCGAAACTCGTTGCGGACACGCGCGGCTCCGCAATTCATTCCAAGGCGGCGAACGGTGCCGCGTTATCGTTATCGCGCGTCGGCAACGATTCCGATTGTTTCCCACGGCTGTCCGCATAACACGACGCTTTCCGCGGGTTCGCATTTTCCTACGTCGGACGGCGGTGAGCCGCCGTCGTGCCGCGATGACGAAGTGCTTCTTTTCGATCTCGCCTCGGGACGCGGTGTATTCCTTGCGGCAGGATTCTCGCGGGGGATTTTCCGCGCGCGCGCGCGCTGGTATATTCCGCAAATTTGACACGGTGTACCGAGCGATCTCGCGCGTCGCGATCGAAGCGCGCGAGCCGAGGACGCGAAGAGAAGGTGACGTTCGTCCTTGTAGAATTTAAACGAGCGCGCGTGCGACCTCGTCGGAAACTCGGAAACGAAACTCTCTCTCTCTCTCTCTCTCTCTCTCTCTCTCTCTCTCTCTCTCTCTCTCTCTCTCTCTCTCTCTCTCTCTCTCTCACGGCTACGATTTTCCACCGCTCCGCAGGATAAACGATCGCCCGGAGGTAGAGAGATTAAGTCATCACACTTGAAATGACCGTCCCATCGTGATTTCGTAGTCGTCATTCGGGAAACACTCGCGCGTGTAAACGCCGACGAGCTTCGTAAACGCAGTCCCGTTCCGCGGCACGGCGACGTCTCGGTTTTATTAGCACCGACTGGTCGCTCGTCCCGCCTTATTACTTTGATGCTTCTAACGTAACGTTTAAATTAACATTTCGACGTTTTTATATTTTCATATTTTTATATTTTATATATTTTCATATTTTTATACTTTATATATTTTCATATTTTTATATTTTATATCGTCATATTCTTGTACTTTTGTACCTTCTTGTATTTTCTTGTTTTTGTATCTTCGTATTTTTATACTTTTGTACCTTCGTATTTTCTTATTTTCATACTTGCATATTTTACTGTCGATCAACATCGGATTCGCCATCAAGTAACAGTCGCGACTCGACGAGCCGGTCGAAGGCTCGAAGCGACTTCTCGAAGAGAAGAACGAGAGGAACGCGCTTGCGTGGTTCTCAGCGTGCATCGCCGCGGTGAACCGACTCGTGAATTAACGACGCGCTTTTCCGCAATCTCGACTCGGACGAGCGGCCGGCTCGATCGCGATTCGCGCGCGCTCGCGGTAGAGCGCGGCGCGCACGGCTCCGCGTTTGAAAATCGCACGGCGGAATGCGCGCGTGAGATCCCGGGGGCACGTCAGAGCGACGTCGTCGGCCGGTCGCTACCTGAGAATACACGTTGCGCCACATGTCGACATCGCGCGTCGTCGTCGTCGACGTCGAGCCCGCGGCTCGAAGCTTATTATGCGCCCGCGCGTCGAATCCGCGCGCACGTGACCCAGGCACGTACAGATAATTACGAAGGTAGGCGCCTAACGCGCCTATCCCTCGCTTGTTCTTTTGCTCGTCCGTGCTCTATTCGTCCGTACCCGCGTTCCCTTTCTCTCGCTGGAACCGCCGACGAGACAATTAATTCGAGCTCATTTGAGCCGGAGACGACGGGTTCTTTTTTTTCGGAAGAAGCGCTACCTTACTGGGAAAAGTCCATCCGTTTCCGTCGGACGCTTTCACTCAACGTCCGCTCGGGAAGTATCGAATGCGTCCCCAGGCGAGGTTGAGCGGCTTTTTAGTGGAAACGAGAAACCGGTAATTTCTCACTGCTTGTAATGTGACGCGGATCGACCTGCGTTCTCTCGCGCGTCCCGTCTCTCCTCGTTCTTGCAAATCGGAACCGCGTCGGGATGCTCGAGAGTCGGAGCGCTTGGCATAACGCGCCAAGTACGTGCCGTCTGGCCTTTGATGAGAGATCAATCAGCGCGGATGGGCTCAGCTCTCGTGCGCTATTCGGCTCTTTCACTCACTCTCTCCGTCTCTCCTTTTGTCACTCGCGTCTACCTACGTGGATCGCGCCCGTTCGCAGGTGCATTCTGCTGGTGCCCGTTCACGCTAGGGAACGGATTCACGGCGGATTTACGGTGGACAGTGAATTTGCGGATTTATTTACCGTTATGACAGACGCTTCCTCCCTTTCTCTTTCTTTCTTTCTTTCTTCCTCCAGCGAAACGCGCGCTCGGCCGACTCCGAAAATAACGCGCGCGCGCGCGCGGCCGCTCTCGACAATTCGTTTTATTTAAAAGCGTATACTCGGCACATTTAAATGCTCGACACGCCTCGTGACGACTCCGCCTCGCGGTTTACCCTGCTTTCTTCGTTTTTTATTTTCTTCTTTAACCCTTTAACGCCCGACCTTTTTTTAAGTGTTTTAAGAATAAAATTTGAGTTTCTTTGAACTGAGACTATAAGTAGTGATAATCAACCGGGAATATCAGAATTTTATGTTGGTTTCTTTTATCGCTCGTTTTTTGTTTATTGGTAAATATAACTTGGATCCTAAAGGCATATACGAAAGGCATATACGATCCTAAAGGCTTGTACAGAGAAACATGAAGGGTAATCCATACGACACAACTGTGATAGTCAGCTTGACATTTATGAGCTGAAACTTTACTATATTTGTGTGTGAAGTTTACCATTCAGAGCGTCAAGCTTACTACTTCAAAAGAATATCTTATAGATCACCATTTAGATAGTCAATCGTCTCTTCGTTTTCCGCCGCATAAAAAGACTGTGGGTCACCAGGTTTCACGAAAATAAGTTGATTTCTTGACTTCCACCATATTGGATTCGCCATTTTGAATTTCTCTATTCTTTTAATTTCACATTTTGCATCTGAGAAAGCTTCCAAATGTATAAAATTATAACAGATACCGATCTATTCATTTATAGTGCACTTCTACTAGACGCCAGTAACAATGCTAACTATTCCCTAACTTGGAATTTGACAAAACATGTTATCACTAAAACTCAGCTGAAAACAGGCTAAACCGAATCTACATACAATCTATATGCCATTTTTTAGAAGAAGACCTTCACCTTTACAGTGGTGCAAAGAAAACGAAAGTATCTCCTTTCCCGACCAAGTTATCGATTTTTAAATGCGTTTCTGATAACTATCAGCAGGCGTTAAAGGGTTAATATTTCCCTCGGATTGAATCGCCCAACTAGGATTTTTGCTAACACATCCTGCTAATCGATTTGCTCTTTGCTCGGCCGCCCGTTTCGTGTGTGCGATGCGCGCGTCCGCCCGGCGAAAGGATACCGTTAGAAACGTCGAGCATCACGCGGCTGCGCAGCCGCGCCGCCGCGCCGCCGCTGCGTCGGGCGTGTGCGATACATTGCGACAATGCGAACGGCTTAAATAACGGTCATTGTGTCGATCTCGAGAAGTACGGTGCGCCGAATGCGTTTCACAAATGGCAAGACAGTGAGCCGTCCGAATTGCCGGTTCCTTCAAAGCGTCGCGCTACCCCTCGGTCTGCGCCTCCTTAATAGACCTCGCCGTGGTCGAATAGGCCCTGACCAAGACGACGACACTCTCGGTCGGCTAGCCGTGCGACCGGACACGTCGCGAATCCGACCTTGATGTTGCTCGATCGTAATTGGTAATTGGTCGATTCACCGACGCGCGTGCGAGTCGCTGGTTTGGGTTGTCGGCGACGGCCGACCGGGTCAGCGAGACGCAGGTGATTGGTCGGTTTGTTTTTTTTTTTTTTCTTTTTGCCCGGCACAGAATCACAAATTGTATTGTCGACGACGGTGGAGACGCTGAGAGACACCGAGACAGACGCGACTCTGTCCTATTTACTCGATCTCGATATCTTCAAGTAGTTTAGTAGATCTGGTCATTGATGCTTTAATGTGTGATAGAGTGTTGTCAGAGTGTTACTTTACTATTTTCTCACATCCGATTGAAGTGCGTATTTAAAGTATTGTAATTAACAACCTGTGATCAAATTTGTCCTGAAATTCAGTCATCATAATTGAAGATATGAAATTATTAATTGTAACGTGATTAATTCATTATTAATTTAATAATAATTAATTTTAATTAATAATTAAAATATTCAATTAAAATGTTTACGTAGACGATAATTGTAGATAAATGTGACATGTGCGTGTGAACTACTATTCATTTGTGACTCTCTTCTCATCTTGCATGTCGCGTATACTTTTCTCGTCGACTTGTAACTCTTGACATGGTCTATCCGTGACATGCCGTCTAAGAAGAGGCGTGTCAATCTTGTTCTTCCATCTGTCTATCTAAGTCTATCTAAGTTTCGAAACTTTGGCGATTCTGAATGTATCCGTCTTCTTTCGCGAGTAAATCTCACTATCACTGGGCTCACTTTTCCTTTTCGAGATGGTTATCGGGCGTATGATCGGGGGGGGGGAGGGGTACCTTGAAATCTCTTTCCTATTGATTGTCGTGTGAAGTGCTTCTTTTATTTCGACTCGCCGCCAAGAGAGAAGCAAGAAAATGTCCGGGAAAGGCAAGCCACTTGCCTCCTCGTCCAAAATTTCGTGCCAACCGTTTGGCACGAAAGTGCAAGTATTAGCCAGTCGAGACATAATTTGTATGCGAACACAATCGTAACCGCCCTTACGCGATCTCTAAACGGTAAGAGAACCCAGTTTTTTCTTTCGTCCGCAATTGAGGTAACTCGCAATCGCTCGGTCTCTGCAAGAACTACCTTTAAGAAGCAACCTTCTTTTCATCGAAGACGTTTTCGATCTTACTAGGATCTACGAGGGTAGACCCAGAAGTACCTGACCTAACAAAAAAAACACCAAAAGTTTGGGCGAAAATATCTTTATTTCTCTACATAGTCTCCTTTAGGTCAATATACTTTTCCCAGCGATGTTCAATTCCCTTCAATACCCT